TGGGAATCGTCTTGGTTCCCAACCAAATGCATTTAGGCCCTTTTTGCTTTTTAAGTTTGATTGTAATACGAGTTGAAGACTTCAGTGTAATGTTTAGATGGAAGGATTGTAGTGACAGCGAAGGGGAAAATGGAATTAGAGAAGTGGGTGGAAGGGAACTTGCTGTGATTGCTGCTGTCCTGTGTTGGTGACCTTCCGATGGGCATGAGCCCAGCTCAGGGAGCCCCAGGAAGGAGTTTGTTTGAGATTGCTGTTTGATTTCCAAGGAAAACATAGAAATAGTAATTTTATGAGGCTCAGAGCTTGAGGAAGGGCAGGAAAGCAGAAAGGACTGCATGTGCCCTATTCTAATTGAGGCCATCAGGTGATGCTGAGGGATCTTAGTGCTCAGCTGAGCTGCGTGATGGGAGATGAGGGACAGGTGTGGGGCAGGGTGAGCCTGGAGAGCCCATTTCTGGCTGTGCTAGAGGGAAGATGGTTCCTCAGGTCCTCTGCTCTGCTTTGGGATGGAGAAAGGTGCTTGCCTGTGGGCTTTGGATGAAGAGCAGGGGGCTGGCTGGCAGCTATGGGGTGGGAGGACCCTCATTGACCCTTTCCCCCTGTTGGGTGCACTGAGCAGGTAGGAAGATGACATGGCAGTTGTCTCAAGGTCTGTTTGGCTGCTTTACCTGGTGTTTTACTCCTGAAGCTGTGTTTGAACCCTGTCTGAGAACCCCCCATCTGCTAAATGCCACAGTTTTAAATAGCTGTAGACTACAAGTGCTTTTCTATTGCTGCCCGTTTAAAACCTTGGCTGTATCTCATTCTGCTTTGGTGCAGGAATGCCCTTAATTTGTTTCAAAAGCATTTGAAAACCCTGATAACAGGCAATCTTGCTGCAGACTATTGTGTCCTTTCTGATGGACGGGCTATTGCTGCTGTAACTACCGCGTAGATAGTGGAGTGACAATGTGTGTCCAGCCAAACACAGGCTGTATAATATTTATGTCAAGTATATGAGGCCAAAAAACTTCCCTGTGTTTGGATATTGGAGGGTTCAGCAGTTAACAGGGCTTGAAAAGGCTTTTCTATGTTTTGTGAGAAGCAAATCATGATGGAAGGCTCATGGTGGGAGAAGGAAGGTGCAAGTTTCCCTCGATACGGGCTGCAAGGATGACAGAGCAGCCAGGTATTTATAAGTATATGGGAAATGGGACCTGGGTTTGGCAAGTGAACTTTTGTCAGCAATTGCCTCGCTGCTGGGTTTGCTTAAAGTGGTGAAATGAATGTTAAATTGAAGTTTCTACTTTTGGAAGAGACCTTTTGAAAATGAAACAGGCTTATCTTCAGTCTAGGCTGAAATCCAAAAAATTGCCTATATCTCAGAGCTCCCCAGAAATGTTCTCTGTGAGCCACCCTATGCAAAAAATGTGTGTGCAAGGGAAAGAATCTCGAGAAAGATTAACCCTGGAGGTGTCTTTTTTCCCTGCTTCCCTGATATGATGTCTTTTGGTTTAGTAGAGGTGGGGTCCCGGTGGCATCCGCATCAAGTCTCTTCTCTATAACCTCATTTCCTGAGCTCCTTTGGAATGCTGTGCTGCAGGGATGTGTCTGATGAGTGTACAGTCCTGTAAATCATCCCTTATTACAGGTGACTGTCCCTTGGATCAGAATTAAGATGGCTTTGTATAACCACAGTCCTATCTTTTGATGCATCCGTGCTGTTCCCGTGGCACGTTTGCCTCTGCGGAAGAGCTTGCGATAACAATCCCAGCGCTGAGTTAGTGTTTTGCTCCTAAAAGTAGCATTTGTTATGATTTTAGTTAGACAAGGAGATGTTTTTCAGTGCAGACCTTTGAAGTATTGCTGGGAAGATGACTGCAATTAAGCAGCCCTGATGCTCCTCTCATTTTGTTCTTTTAAAACCTTCTGCTTTAGCCTCTTTGGAGGTGAGAGGCACAAGACTCATTTCATTACATTGCTAGGTCTTGTACAAGCTGCTGTCCTGCAGTGTAAGCTGCAGGTCTGGCTTCATTTACAGGGCAGAGCATGCGAGAAACACCTCTCACTACTGATTTGCTCCAGCCAAAGGCTATTTATAATAAAGGAGGGAAGGGATTATTAGGAGCGACCTCATTGCAATGACAGAGATTATGATGGGGAGTTCACATGTCTCCTCTAAAGCCAAACGTGGGCTCTTGATGGACCTTGTGCATGGTCAGGAGTGGTTTAGCTTTGCTCCTTTGAGTGCTCAGATGTGCCCAGAGGTTGGGGATAACGACCCTGCTGTGCTGGGGAGGCAGATAATGAGCACAGCCCTCTCTGGTTGGGTTCAGGTCACACTGCAGCCAGCTCAGGTATGTCAGTGGTGTAATTAGTGAGGTGCTGAATCAGGGAGCCGGCAGTGACGGTGTCACCTTGTCCCTGCTCTCTGCTCTCGGCTGGGCTCTGCGGCAAGGGGGGATCCTGCAGGACCAGGGGATATCTCAGTGAGCAAGGGGTGGTTGGCTCTGATGTAACCCATGAGGGAAAGGCAGGAGCATGCTGCTGGAAAATGTATTGATTTTTTTTGTGATAAGGAAAGTTGTTCCTGAACGACTGGGGGGTTCTTGCTGGGTTAGGATGTGGGCCTGTAGAAGTGGAAGTGTCTGGAGCATCTGCATGGCAGCTCATGAGCCAGAGCACCCAAGGGTCTGCTTAGAACCCAGACTGATTTGGGTTGGAAGGGACCTTAAAGCTCATCCAATTCCAACCCCTGCCACAGGCAGGGACCCCTTCCACTGGAGCAGCTTGCTCCAAGCCCCTGTGTCCAACCTGGCCTTGAACACTGCCAGGGATGGGGCAGCCACAGCTTCTCTGGGCACCCTGTGCCAGCGCCTCAGCACCCTCACAGGGAAGAGCTTCTGCCTAAGAGCTCAGCTCAGTCTCCCCTCGGGCAGGTTCAAGCCATTCCCCTTGGCCTGTCCCTACAGGCCCTTGTCCCAAGCCCCTCTCCAGCTTTCCTGCAGCCCCTTTAGGCACTGGAGCTGCTCTAAGGTTTCCCCTTCAGGAGCCTTCTCTTCTCCAGGCTGCCCCAGCCCAGCTCTCTCAGCCTGGGTCCAGAGCAGAGCTGCTCCAGCCCTTGCAGCATCTCCGTAGCCTCCTCTGGACTTGCTCTAGCAGTCAGGCTTGGAGCTTCATGCTCTGGAAGGTGTGAGCACAGCCTCAGCTGGGTTATTCCTTCCTTCATCCCCACTGGGATGTGCTTTTGCCAAGCTAGTTTCAGCAAAATGGAATGCAACATAGCACCAGTGCTCTTTTGTGTCTGCTTTGCCTGCTGGTGGACATGCCCTGTCCTCCAAGATGACCAAGGTGTGAAGGAGAACCTTGTGTCTGGTCCAGCCATGGTGCCAGGGGAACTGAGCTTGTGCTGTTAGTCTTCATGGAGCAAGCACACCATTCAGGCTGCAGGCCATGGTCCATTATAGCTGCTTGCCCTTCCCAAACAGGGAGGGAGTTGAGTTTGGTTCTCCCACCAAAGCAGCTGATCGCTAAGCCTGGTGACTACAGGGCCTTGACTTGCTTCCCATTGCTTATATTGCAAATGGGAAAACAAACACAACAAAAGAGGTGGTGCAAGGAGAAATATTTTGGCTCTTTTCTCACTGGTATTTTTTGCCTGGCTTTGATTTGCCTGTCAAACTGCCAGAGCAGAGCTTTGCAGGGATGCATTCAAACCTTGATGGGCAGCTCTGGAGCTGTCAGCGCCCCTGCCTGCGTCTGCTGCTGCCTGGCCAAGACGGGAGCTGCAGCTGAGGATGGAGCTGCTGGCTCTGCCTGTGCCGGAGGCTGTGGATCTGGGGATGGCTTTTGGGGTTCCCTCACCCTGAATTACTCATGTGGTGCCCTAGGTCGGGGGAAGCTGCTGCAGTGGATGTGTGTTGGGATGCTGTAATCCCAGAACCCAGGGTGCTTATGCTGTGAATCAGGGTTGGGTGGGACGTGAAACTAGCAGGCAACTGCAGGAGAAGATGGATAGATGTGCAACCCCAAGGTCATAGAATTATAGAATGGTTTAGGTTGGAAAGGACTTAAAATTCCTCCAGCTCCAACCCCTGCCACAGGCAGAGACCCCTTCCACTAGAGCAGCTTGCTCCAAGCCCCTGTGTCCATCCTGGCCTTGAGCACTGCCAGGGATGGGGCAGCCACAGCTTCTCTGGGCACCCTGTGCCAGCGCCTCAGCACCCTCACAGGGAAGAGCTTCTTCCTTCTCTCCAACCTGAACTTACTCTGTTTCAGTTTAAACCCATCACCCCTTGTCCTATCCCTACAGCCCTGGATGAAGAGTCCCTCTCTGGCATTACTTCAGACACTGGAAGCTGCTCTGAGGTCTCCACGCAGTTTCTCTTCTCCAGGCTGAAGGTCTTTCTCCAGGTCAATAGATATTTGTCAAGGTGGTCCCCTTTTCTCACTGGTGCTCATTACTCTGTGCTGGGAATGTCCCTATTACATATGGCTGCAGCGTTACATCACGACCTGGAAGAAGGTTTCACTTGTAAATGCCAGAAGAAGAATGATGTCTGTGTTTTGGCTCGCCTGTCACCAAGTGTCTTCCCTGTGCCAAGCAGCAAACCTCCCTTGCGCTTGGCTGCAGATCTCTAGGAGCTTCTTCTAGCCTTTTTCCTATAGGAGATTAAAGACATCTCATGCACTTGTGTACTGTAGCTGTCTTTCTTACCTGGAAATCAGAAGGCACTTTGTAGCCTCCTTTTATTGAGGAAGCCAGCTGTTAATGTTCATATATGGGGGAAATAGCAATCAGAGGGCAAAAAGCAGTGCTTAAACTCATCCTGTAGATCAGAAGCAGTACTAGGGGTAAGACTCAAAAGTTCTGATTTCCAGGACCGCTAAGAACACTGCTTTTGGCATCATGGATAAAACTGATCCTCTGTTGCATGGACTTGGGGTTATGGTTGGAATTGATGATCTTAAAGGTCTTTTCCATCCTGGCTGATTGTATGATTCTATGTTTGTCCCTGCAGAGATGTCGGGGACCGTGGCTGACATCTCGCTGGTGCACTGGAAGCAGCAGTGGCTGGAGAACGGCACCCTGTACTTCCATGTCTCCATGAGCAGCGCTGAGCAGCTCTCCAGGGCCACCCCCCCGAGCCTGCAGGAGCCTTCTGAGATTGTGGAGGAGCAGCTGCACATTCTGCATATCTCGGTCATGGTGAGTGAAAGCTGCCAATGGCATCGGAGGGGACAGAGGGCCCTCTGGGAGGGGATGGTGGTTGGCAACCGGGGTGTGATGGGAAGGCAGTGAGAAGGAGCAAGGTGATGAGTTTGGTTTGCAAATGTCCATGTCCCATCTTGGTTGGGCCTTCAGAGAGGAAGAGTTGTGCTTGAATGGGCTGGGGGAAAAAGAGTGGTTGGTCTTTTCATAATGAAGCATGACAACAGACTAGAGAAGAAGCTGTGGGGAAAGTGATGAGGAAGCTTGTGGTGGTTCCATCACTGCTGGCAACTGGGGAGGTGGGCCAGGGGAGTATTTCCGCTTGTTTGTGCCTTTAGGCATGTGTAAAGGCAAGATTTTGAGCTTGGTCATTTCTTTCTGAAGCTGAGTTTTACCTGTCGAGTGAATATGGGCTGTCGCATGATCCTTCTCTTGCAAAGGATGAGCTTGACCTGAAAGTGAAATGATGGTCTAGATGCTTTGAATATCTCCATTTCAGGTGTTTGTGACCATTATTAATAGATCATGTATGTGCTCTGTTGCCTTATAATGTTTATTTCAGTATGTTATGAGGTGGCTGATATGGTTATGAGTGTGTTATGAGCTGGTGATGTATTTGGATCCGGTCTGTCATTCCTCTGTGCTTTAGAGGAATCCATCTGTGAAATGGGACTAAATGTATCATCCCTTAACTGCCATTGAGATAAGCTGTCCTGTCAATAAAAGAAATAAAGAAGTTAGGCTTGTAGATCCTGTGTAGATGCAGGTTATCTGTTTGGCTAAGGGAATTCTTCCGTTGTATTAGGATCCCATTGCAACCACCCTCTGGAAAAGGTGAACCTGAACAGATTCTCTTGGTACCTGTGTGTCATCTCCATGATTTCTGTCCTGTTGGGAGAAGGAGCAGAGGTGGTGGCTGTGCAATGCCTTTGATTTTGCTTTTGAACAAGTGTCTATTTGGTTTGTACAGCTTAAATCTGATTTCTTCTTGAGTGTCTTAGCCCTTGGCAGTGGAGCATTAGGTTGGGCACTGAGTACATGGCAACAGGAGAAAGGCTTTGCATTAAGGCTGTAGGGCAAGATAAGATGCAATATGATAGCAGGATGGCAGAAGGGATAGGAATCAGGGACTGCAGCTTGCTTAGTTGGATAGGGAACATTTTTACATCCTACTAATCATGTCGATGTGATGGAGTGCTGGGCAGGAAAGGGTAAAACTGATGTACTTGGAAAATGAGCCTGAGAAAACAAGTGAGAGACAGAGCAAGGAATGAACAAATCCCAAGTGTGGGGTATGAAAACCTTGATTCCTGGTATGAGGACGGGGTTGTTTGGCTGTTGTGGGCAATCCTGAGCCATGGGGAAGTGGCCCGTGGCTTTGGGGGAGAGCCTGGCTATGGGATAACTGCAGTTGCTTTGAAATGCAGATTTTCTTTGGTAGGGATCGACTCCGTCCTGGTCCCTTGCTGAAGCTGCTCTTTCTAAGAAAGCAACATGATGATTGTAATGGATTGATGCTTTGGAGAAAGTTTCTTAGAGAGATTCTTGCCCGGAGCCTCCATCCTCTGCACCATGGAGCACAGGAGCAGCAATGCTGGTGGAGGGGAGCTGAAGGCATCACTGTGCCTGTCACAGCAGCAGTATCTGTGCACTGTCCTCCTGGGTTAGCTGGTGAAGATGTTTTGCCACATCTCCTAGCACAAGAGCATCCGTGGCTTTGTTGTGAGAGTCAACTCCTGCCCTTCTGCATTAGCAGGGGAAAGGCAGGTGGGAAACAGCCACAATTCGACTCCCTTTATCAATCCTGATACTCCTCGCAATAGAAGCCAAGGTCGCAGGCAGGGATATGGGTCTGGGACGCGGTCTGGGCTGCACACGTGTACTGAGGGAGGCAGAAGCTCTTCCCTGGGTCAGGATTGCAGCACAGACTTGAAACCTTGCCCAGGTTTTTTCTGAAGATTCATTAACTTTTCGAGTGAAACCGAGCGGACCCGAGCCAAGCTCTGAGTTACTAACGCAAGATAAATGTGTGCTTTGTTGGATCCTTTCCCCCAAGACCATATGGAGTTCTGTAGCTGAAGTAGAATGGGGTGAAAGTCTTTGTTTCTTGGTGAAACATTTCCTCCAAGTCCCTGGGCTCTTTTTGGGATGCTTTCCCATGCCTTTACTTCCCCCTGAGACCAACATCCTCTGTCACTGAAGCCCTCCTCCTTCCCCTGCAGCAGGTTCACTCATTGTGGTGTGTTCAGCACCTTCTGGATCCCAGCGTGGGGACAGTGTGGTCCCCCCCATCCCATTGTATCCCATCCTCCCCTTTGCCCATACTCCTTCTCCTGCCTTAAGATGCAGCTGTGCATCCCCATGTCCTCCTTCCCGGCTTCCTAAATACTTTTCCTTTTGCTTCCTACCATAAAGCCTCATATCTGTGTGCTCTCAATAGACTAAAACACCATTCCTGGAGCATCAGCCCACCCGAGTGCTGCCTTGGCATTCAGAGTCTGTGTGTCCTGTTCATCATCAGCCCAGCATCTCGCTGCAGGGGACAGGAGGAGACATAGGAAAGTGCTTGCTTCCATCTCCTTTAAGTGGCTGTAACGCTCACTTCTACCTGTCTGCTCATCCTTGGGCTGAGTTATGAGGCTAGGGAAGGTTTGCCTGGGGGATCCCGCTAATCCCTTGCTTAGGGAGTACCCAGCAAAGCTTTATTGGACAGTGAGACATGGCCAAGCTGAGCTCCCTCTGATGGGAGCATTGTTTTGGGCTTCTGTAGATGTCTATGACTTGGCTGGTAGAACCTGCTGTGCCTCTGAAGCCAAGAACCCCCCTGCATTGTGTGGGGGCTCAGGGAGGGATGTAAATCCTGGGTTTACTCCTTATTCAGGTGGTTCTGGCTGGTGTGCCTGGCTTTCTGCTTTGGGGTTTGCTTTCAGTGCAGCAGGAACGGGGCCATCGGTGCCCATAACCCTGTGTCCCTGAGGCCATCTACCCCCACAACAGCCCTCTTCACACCTCCCTTCCCAAGCTCAAGGGCATCTTTAGCAGCAAAATAATCCTTGATTTTTATTGTATTTTCCTTTGCTCACTGTTTTTTCTTAATCTCTCCCCAATGAGACATAACATTAATTACTGCAGTTAAAGGGAATTCAGCCTCCATTACTCTCTGCCACCCCTTTCCTATCAGCTTAAAGCATCTGAAATTTGTCTCCCGAATGAAAAGAAAGGAAAAAAAGGGAAAATGCGCAAAAATGCAAATGTTGGGTTTTATTTATTTACCTTTTTTTGTGTGTGTGTGCATGTCAAGTAGAAAGGAATCAATATTTTTGTCATTACGCCTGTTGTGTTTTCCCCCCCATAATCTTAGCTGTCACTTGGGTTTAATTGTGTTGTTTCCTCTTGTGTGGAAGTAAATCTTATCTGTTTGGGATTAAAATTCAATGAAGGTCACAGCAGCTTGAAAACTTACCAGGCTGCAGCAATTAATGTTCATTTGGCTTTGATAAATTGGAATGTTCCCCACAATAGGACTGGAGTGGATTTCAGAAGCAATAATTCTTCCATTAACTCAATGATTCCCTGCATGATAGAGCGTCCTGTCACTGCTCTGTTTGTCATCTGTCACTTCAAGGATCTGGGCATATGCCTGATATGATTTATCATGATTATTGGGGCTGCTTGTGTCAAAACACTTTAAGCTGCTAATTATTCCAGCCTTGTAAATGGCTGGATTTAACAGAACATAAGAGATATTTATTTTTCTGTTGTTTCCCCACCATCTTGTGTCCCTGTTATAATTATTGCTCTGCAGCACAGTAAATTCAGACCTGGAGCCATGTCCAGCAGTGATTTCTATAGATGAAGGCTCATTTTCCATGCTCTGGGAGGTGGAGGGATGGGGTTGGGTAGGAACAGGCATGTTTGATCTCTGCATTGACCCAGCTCACAGACATTTGGTAGGGGCATTGTGCCCTATGGCTCCTCCAGTGCCTGGGATGCAGGGTTGGGAAGAGGATGCAAAGCCTCATCCAATCCTGCTGGCCAAAGGATGGGTTTTCCTTCCTTAAGCCTGTGTGAGTGATGCTGGTAAAGCCTTGGCCGTTTGGAGCTGGGACCATTCCTGCACAGTGTGGAAACAAGTGATGCTCTGCCTCCATCTCCAGCAGAAATAAGTTGGGCTTCTTTGAGGACAGTAACAAGCAGAAGCCTTGTTTCATCCTGTGCCATCACCCTGCAAGGGAGCATTTCGGTGTCTGGAATAAAAGGTTGCTAGACCTCATCAGGCTGGCTTTTTTAAATGTTACTATTTTTTTATTTCTAATGCCTACTTTCTGCTGCCTGGTGCCAGGAACAGGCAAGTTTGCTGCTTTCTAGGTCTCCCAGCAGGTTTTTTTAGCTCTTATTTGGACAAGTTTCCTTTTCACTCCTTGTTCTTATGCATCCCCATGTTTCCCTAACGATCAGCCGTTGGTGCTGTGCTCTGCCAGCCTCTGAGCTGGGTATAAAGTGTGCTGTTAAATGCTTCACTCTGATTTAGCATCCTGCTCTGAAGTGGAGCTGGGGAGGACTCCTGTGGCCCCAGTGCATGGTGCAGGTGAGTCCTGGTGAGCAGGTTTCTGGGGCACATCTCCTGCTTCTTCAGCACTGCAGGAAGGTCCAAGTGCAAGTGAGGTTTTCACAGTGCAAGTGAGGTTCTGAGCTGCTGCCACCTCCTTTCTGAAGTTGCCATCCAGCAAGAGCCATAGAAAATGCGTTAATTTCCCCTTTTCACCCCCTTTTTTTCTCTATTACTATTATCTGTGACCCATATCACAACTCTCACTCCTTCCATGCTCCACTGCCTGTGTTTCCCTAGTGACACTGTGTCTCATCAGGCTCTTTGCTTGCAGCTTGGCTACATGAAGCATCATGTGTGGTGCCATTGTGCTTGTCCTGTGCAATTGTTGGGGTGCAATGGCAGCCGGACCCCAATGGGATGAGCCCCTTTGCTGCCCTGAACACAG